TCACATTCATAGGGACAAAAAGAAGAACAATGGTTGCCAGGGGCTGGGGAGGAGGAAATGGGGAGTTGTTTAATGGGTACGAGAATTTCAGATTTGCAAACTGAGAAAGTTCTAGAGATCTGTTTCATCACAACATAAATAGCACTCAGTGCTACTGAACTGTATACTTAAGAGTGGTTATATTGGTAATTTTTAGATTGTGGGTTTTTCCCACAATAAAATTGAAAAAAAAAAAAACAGGAAAAGGTAGCCAGTGGGGAACACACGTGCGTGCGCGTGCACACACACAGCATAGCTAACAGCTCCTCCACCTGCCCAGGTGTGCTGCAGGGTCCCATCCTCCCCTGATCCTGCCAGGTGCCCTGCCCTAAGAGCCACTACTATAATACTGCGCCTTGCTGACCTAGAACTGGGGACAGGAAGGGGAGGACCAGCTCTGGTCTTTATCCTAGGGCTTGGCCCAACACCTGGTACCCAGCAGATGCTGGATAAATATTCGCTGAACAAACTTCATAAAAACCATGTGGTAGGGGATCCCTGGGTGGCTCACTGGTTTGGCGCCTGCCTTCGGCCCAGGGCGTGATCCTGGAGTCCCAGGATCGAATCCCACATCAGGTTCCCCTGCATGGAGCCTGCTTCTCCCTCTGCCTGTGTCTCTGCCTCTCTCTCTCTCTCTCTCTCTCTCTCTCTCTCTCTCTGTTTCTCATGAATAAATAAATAAAATCTTAAAAAAAAAACAACAACAACATGTGGTAAGGTCAGGCTGGTACAATTATCCCCATTTTACACACAGGCTCAGCAAGGCAAGGTGACCTTTCTAAAACCACAAAACCAGAAAGTGGTAACAGAAGAGATGACCCCGATATCCTGGACTCCTGTTAGATGGCCCTTCACAGTCAGCCAGGCCCCTATTTCAGGAAATTCCAACAGGAATTTCCAAATAATAATTCTTGCCTTATATTAGTGACTCTTAACTTTTTTGGATCATGGACCCGTTTGGCAATCTAATAGAGGTCTGAGTCCTTTTCCTAAAGCAACATGTGAGACTTAGACGATAGTTTTTAGGGGGATCCTGGACTCCCCTGAAGCGCATTCATTGACCTGATTAAGAACTCTCTTTCCACCCTGCTATCTGGGGGGCTCATTTATCCTCAGGATTTTAGAGTCATCTCTATATTCTTGAGCATCAGAGTCAAGGAAAGATATTATTTTATTTTTTAAAATTTTTAAAAGATTTTATTTATTTATTCATGAGAGACACAGAGACACAGGCAGAGGGAGAAGCAGGCTCCCTGCAGGGAGCCCGATGTGGGAGTGGGACTCTATCCCGGAACCCTAGGATCATGCCCTGAGCTGAAGGCAGATGCTCAACCACTGAGCCACCCAGGCATCCCAGGATGTTATTTTAAATTCATACTCCCAGGCCCATCTCTCGTGGATCTGGTAAAGCAGGCACAGGGCTGTGCCCAGAAATCTACAGAAGGTGCATCGGAGGATTCTGGGATTGGTGGCTCTGAGACACACAGGGGGCTGGAAGCTGCTGCCTCTCAGGCTTCAGAATGCTGCCCCGAAGATCCCCTGAGCTCCCAGCCTCTGTCTTCAGCTGCCTACCAAACCTGGCTCTTAGCCATTCCAGCACAACCCAACAAGGACTTCCTGAGCCCAACATCTGTGACCCCAGAAGTGCTCCTTTACTGGGATCACTAGGTCAGAAACCTGGGTGTCACCATTGAGTTGTCCCTGTCCCCACCCCACATCTCGACCATCACCAAGGCCAGCTGATTCTATTCTCTATGTGCCTCTGGGCACCCCCACTTCCCTCTATCACCCCTGCCAGCACCGTTGTCCATGCTTCCAGCTTCTGCCCCCTGCTTCCATCTGCCTGTACCATCCATTCTCCGTCCTGTGTCTCTGATCCTGTCACTGCCCTGCACAGAGCTCTACCGTGGTGACCAAACCCTAGAGCTGCACTATCCAATATGCTAGCCACACATGGCTATTTAAATTTAAATTAAATATCCAAAGTTCTGCCCAAAGTTCACACTCATTACATATCAATGGCTCAAGAGCCGCATGTGGCCAGTGATTACCATACTGGATGGCGTAGATAGAGCACATTCCCATCTTCACAGAAAGTTCTAGTGGACAGTGGAGCTCTACAACTTCACTTATGAGCCCTTCAGGGTCTGGCCCCAGCCTCTGCTCAGACCACTCCCCAGCATCCCTGGTCTTGAGCCACAGTGAACCACTCTCAACAACCTAAACTCATGCTCTCACCTCTAAACCATTGCATGTCATACCCTTCCTGTCTTTCTTGCTTGGCTAACTCCTACCCACGCTTCAGGTCTCCGCTGTCACTTCTCCCCGAACCAGGATAAGTGCCCAAGCTTTTGCCAATCACAGCATTTAAAACACGGAGTCATAACAGCCATGGGCATGCCTACACCCATTACAGCCATACCAACAATTTTCAACGAGGGGCAAGTTTGCCCGCCCCTCCTGGGGGACACCTGGCAGTGCTTGGATTCATTATTAGCGAGGTGCTACTGGCACCCAGGGTAGAGGCCAGGAACACTGCTAACATCCTACAGTGCACAGGACAACCCCCCCACAGCAAAGAATCATCCGGCCCAGAATGTTGGCAGCGTTGAGGCTGACCATGCTTGCTCTACGCTGGACAGCTCCGTAATGGAAAGGTGTGTGTCCCGTATGCCCAGCCACCAGCCCAGGGCTGGGCATAGAATGAGTACAGGGGTTCTCTAAGAGTTTCCCCAGGATTCCAATTCTCTTACATGGTCTTAGAATGACAGTCACTGATCATTACAGCAGGCTGAATAATGTCCTCCCACCCCGCCACCCAAATATCCGGGTCCTAACCCTGGAACCTGTGAGCGTCACTATACATGGCAAAAGAGACTCTGCATGGGTGATTCAGTAAAGGATCTTGAGACAGGAAGATTCTCCAGGATTATCCTGATGGGTCCTAAATGCCCTCACAAGCCCCCCTAGCAGAGGAAGACAGAGGGACACCTGACAGAGAAAAGGCAGCGTGAAGATGGGGCAGAGAGATTGTAAGATGTCACAACGCGGGCCGTGAAGATGGGGAAGGGGCCCCAGCCGGCATCCACTGGAAGGGACAGATGGTCCCCCCGAGTCTCCAGCAGGGTGTGGCCAGGCTGATGCCTTTTTTCGGCCCAGGGAGGCTGATTTTGGACTTCTGGCCTCCAGAACTGTGTGTTCTGGATAGACAGGTGTTTCTGTGATTTGCCCTGCACAGCTGGGACCTGCGGGTAGGCAGGCAGGCTAAGGAATGTTGTTCGTGAGGCTTGTGCTGCATGGATGACCTCGGAAGCCCAGTTGTTTGGGATGCCAAGGGCTACCAATCTTGTCTCACACCCCCTTCTGCTCCTGGACTCCCCCACAATGGAATCCGGAATCGGGGACGGGAGGTGGGCACACAAAGCCCAGGCTCCTTGAAAATGTAAAAGCCTGATAACATGGAAAAGCAGCTCGCTCCAAACTGCATGTAGGAGAAAAAATGTCTAACTTCAGACCCCATCATTTGCCCTATAAATTTGGCCCTTATGGGAAGGGTCAGTTGAAGTGTCAGCTGAGAGGAGGATGCTCTGCCCAGACCTCCAGCCCGGCTTCTCCAAGGGGCTTCCCAGCTGGTGAGGCCGAGGTTGTAAACATCTGACCTGATGTAACTCCACCGTAGTCTCGGGTCTCGCCGTTTTTTTTTTATTTAATTTTTATTTTTTTTATGATAGTCATACAGAGAGAGAGAGGCAGAGACACAGGCAGAGGGAGAAGCAGACTCCATGCACTGGGAGCCCGACGTGGGATTCGATCCCGGGTCTCCAGGATCGCGCCCTGGGCCAAAGGCAGGCGCCAAACCGCTGCGCCACCCAGGGATCCCTCGCCCACTGTTACCTGCATGGATTCCCCGCCTCTCCTGGCTCTGTTAGGTTTCAATACGTTAATTAACGTTAATAATAATGTCATTAACGTCATAAACGTTTATAATAATAACGTTGTCATTCCTTTTCGAAACTGACACAACGGCTGCTGTGAATCTTTTGCTCACAACGCTGCGAGAGGATACACATCTGCTGTTTCTAGGCCAACACATTTCTAGTCATTTGTTACAGTGGCCCGAGGACACTGATACAGTCCTGTTCCAACCTGGGGTTTATTGGATTTGGATCAGAGCATCGGAAAGGAATGGCGTTTAGGGGAGGCCCCCACCCTGGTGGCTCTGAGGGCGGGAAGGAGAGATGGTAAGGGTGCCCGAGGCACGTGTTTCTAGATGGAGATGCCCGGGTCGTCGGCCCTAGTGTCTGTGGGTCATTCCTCACACCTAGTCCTGCTGCCTCCGGGGGTGCGGGACGTCTCTGGTAGCAAGGGACTTAGCTCAGGACGCTACATCTGTCTGGTGCCGAAGCGAGGATTAGAATAAGAATGGAAGTTCTTGTCCAGCTCCCCAGCCTCCCTGCCAACCCCCCTCCCTTCCTCCACTACCATCCAGACACAGGGGCCTTTCTCTGACCTTCCAACACAGCCCTGGGGCCTCTGCACCTGTTATTCTTCTGCTTGGAACATTCTTCCTCCAGAGTCTCCCATGGCTGGCTGCTTCTCCTCATTCAGGTCTCAGTGCAAATGCAGCCTCCTCCCAGAAGCCCTCCTCGCTTGCACTTGGGGCCAGGGCCCTTCACATCACCTTCTGTCACCACCCGCTGATTTCCTTCCCAAATCATCTCCCGCTGTAACGATCCCATGACCATCTTTGTCTGTTCATAGTTAGTCCCCTGCAGGCCGGACTGCAGGTGCCAAGAGGGCAGGGACCATGTCTGATCTGTCCAGGGTGTGTCCCTAGCCCCACGCCTGGCACACACCAGGCGCTCAACACATTGGGAAGGAATGAATGAGTGGGTGAGTGAATGTGAGCAAGCGAATTTGCAGCCCTGGAGGATGCTTGCCACACGCCAGGTCCTACATACCTGATCTTGGCTTTCCGAAAGGCCAGCTCGTCTTCATTGCCAAAGTCCAGGGACACGTCCTCAGTATCGTCCACCAGCGCCTGGGGGACACCAAAGGCAGGTGGCGGGCGCTGCGCATCCCCACCCCCACCCGCTCTGCCGGCGGGGCCCCTCCCCCGCGGCTGCAATCCGAGGCCTCCTGCGCATTTGGGGTTCGGCCCAGCCCAGGCCGGGGCTCGTGCATCCCTCCTCCTCCCTTCCCCTCCCCTCCCCCGGGCGCCCCCCCCAGCCTCCTCCCGTCCTCTCCTCCATCCTCCAGCCCCCAGCATCCCCGCGGCCCTACCTGCTTCATCCTCCCCGGAGCGCACCTGGAGCCCCCAGCCGAGGGGCCGAGTCCCCGGAGGGTGCGGGGCGCGGGGTCCGAGGCGACGCCCCGCGGAGCAGGTCCCGGGTGGGGGCGGGGCGCGCGGGGCCCAGAGCGCAGTCGCGGGCTGGGGAGCTGGGCTGGGGCGGGCGGGGGCGGGGCTTGGCTCGCTGGGGACCCCCGGAGGGAGGAGGGAGACAGCGGATGCCCAGAGTGGAGGGATGCAGGGCGAAGAAGACCGAGCGCGCCCAGGAGGGGCCGATTAGGTGCACTCGGGGATGGGGACGGTGGCCCTGGGGGAACAGAGGGGGTGGGCCCGTGAATGAGCTGGATGTCCCATAATTGGATGGGTGAGCGAACCAGGGAATGAATGTCGGTGTTGGGCAGCCTCATTTAGGGTTTGCAGAAGGCCAGTGTTTCCCCAAAGTCTCTGAGCAGGAGGAAATCACCCCTCTCTGGGCCCTGATTAAAAGCAGATTCCCAGGCCCAGCCCTGGAGATTGGGAAGGCCTGGGTGCAGGCTGAGGCACCTGCTTTTAACCAGTGAGTCCGAAAAAAACAAATTAAATTAAATTTAAAAAAAAACAAACAGGTGAGTCCGCTGACCACAGCGAGATCTTCCCTCATCCGGGTGCCAGCACATACTGAGCACAAAAATAAATACCATGGGCAGTTCTGATAGTCGTTCTGGACGGTGAGAGCTCCTTGAGTATCTCCCAGGAAAGAAGGCTTGCCACCTGAAAGTCTTTCCTGGCCCCCGACAAGGTCACGGCCCTCCCTGTCCTAACCCCCCACCCCCCAGGAGCAGAGGGCTGAAAGTCTAGATGCCGAGGCCCCTGGTCCTGCCTTTGCCCACCCGACACGGGCAATGCGGGCCTTTCCCCCATCCCTGGTGACCTGTAAAAGGACCACTGGTCCACAAGCTCCTGACACAACCCCTTCACTGCTGGCCCCCTGAAAGGACAAGTGGCCTGGGGTGTGCCCAGGGGGAGCAGTAGGAAGCACAGCTGCCTGAGCTCTGATCCCTGGGTGAGCACCGCTTCCCTCCCCCCCTCACCTGACCCAACAAAGGGCCTGGCAGGTGTGTGGGGGGAGGATACTTTCTCCTGGGGACAGAATGCCATCCTGAGGGGTCAGCAGCTCTGGGCTGGTCTGCAATGCGTCTAACAAGCTCCCAGGTGATGCTGATGCTGCGGGGCCCTCTGAACCATAAGGACTTACATTACTGAACTCGGGTTTCTAGAAAGGCCTGTTGTGTCTTCCAGCCCAAAGTTGGCTCCAGGCACAGGAGAGGGTCACACTGAGTGGCTAGAGGACCCTAAGCATCCCCTACCCCGCGAGTCCCCAGCTGCCTGGGATACTCAAGGGAGGGCAGGTGGAGGTGAAAAGCCGTTGCAAAATATTTAGGGGCTTTTCCTACAACCCTGAAAGTCACCAGCTGTTGCTAGCTGCTAAGTCTGGGCTCAGAGTCCCCAAGGGGTGAGAAGGTAGGAAAACCCCCTTGGAAACCCCACCTAGGGACAAACTGTCATTCTTGCCCATCAGGTTGGGGATGCCTCGAGAAACAGCCATGGCCCCGCCGTGTAGAAGTCACCCCACAAACACAACGTCATGCCACACTCCCCCTTCCTGACCACATCAGGGCACAGGCTAAGGATGAAGGTGCCAGGGCCAGACCCAGGGCCTAGGCATTCCCTCCCCAGGAGAAAGTGCTCCCCCTGGATATATGCCCAGCTGGCCCTCTGCAGAGTCAGCCAGGAGAACTGGGGGCGTGGGCAGAGAACCCATCGCTTCTGCAAAGAATTCATCGTTGGCTTTGAAATCAGCTACAGTGGATTTACCTGAGGCTGCTGGTTAACAGGCAGATTCCAGGGCCCCGCTCCAGGCCTTCTGAATCCCCAGGGCCAGGGCCTAGGAATCTGCTTTTAATATGGGCTCTGGGGAGGGGCACCTGGGTGGCTCAGGTCGTGATCTTGGGGTCCTGGGATCAACCCAGGAGCCTGCTTCTCCCTCTGCCTCTGTTACTCTCATGAATAAATAAATAAAATCTTTTAATATATATATATTTAATATATATTTATTAATGAGAGTATATATATATATATATATATATATATATATAGAGAGAGAGAGAGAGAGAGAGAGAGAGAGAGAGAGAGTCAGTCTCTCTCTGGGGAATTCCTGAGCACAGAGACCTTGGGGAAATACTGGTGCCACTGAATATGGCCACTGGGGTCCTGACACGAGTCGCCTTCTGCTGGTCCTGGCTCAGGAGGAGTGTGGGGAGCAGTCTGGAAGAGCAGGCTCATCTCTGATCCCTGGCTCCCAAGGAAAGGGACTCCAGGCTCCAGCAGCCACTGGCATCCAGGTGGCCCCTGGAGGCCAACATCTGGAATTGGGCAGGCCCGACTGGAAACATGCTCCACCATTTCCTGTCTGGGTGGCCTTGGGCAGGGGACTTCATGTCCCCGGCCTCGATCTCCACATCTGTAAAATGGGGTCACACCTCCCCTCACCCTCATCATTAGGGATGATGCAAGACCGGAGAAAACACAGGTGGAAGGCCCTCCTCAGAGCTGGGCCTCCGGAAGCAGCAGCTCTGGAGACTGACTTTGATCATCAGCAGAGGGCCCTGGGGTCTGAGGAACACCCCTTCCGTGGAGCTGGGCCACACACAGGTTGTGAGCCCCGTGCCAGTCACTTGTTCCACTGAGAGGCGTCTGTCTTAATGGGGGAACAGGCGCTGCACATCCAGCATGGCCGTTTCCCAAACACTGTTTAGCCGGGACAAGTGACAGCTGGGACAGAGGACGAGCTTGGGACCCGAGGAGTCCCAGAAAGTAGGGGCTTGGGTGTGAACTGCCATGGCTGAACACTGGAACCAGGAGCAAGGGGAGGACGGGGTCAGCCTGGCTGGACTGCTCCCATCCTTATCCTATAGGAGAAGGACAGCAGGCACAGGGGGGCAGATCTGAGACTGGAAAGAGTTCCTGAGCTGCACTGTCCCCCCCATCAGGGCAAAAGCTGCAGCTTCCAGGCCTGTCATCCTCAGCCCTGCATTGCCGTGGGCCGGCCCTAAGACCTGCCCGCCTGGCACCTGCCAGTGGCCCTGCCATTCCTCCTCAGGCAGGGCTCAGGGTCTCACAAAATGAGCCAATAGAAGGGAGCCCGCTGACATGGACCTGGAGGGAAACAGCAAATCAGTTCTTAGGGTAAGTATATCCCAGGCAACATTTGGGATATACCTATGCTTGAGAAAGGCTCAGTCATTTACCTCAAATTCACATTTACCTGGGGTCCTGTATTTCTTCTAGCAGCCCTGTGCCTCCAGGCCAGGGTGCACCCAGGCTCAGGAGACCCCAGGGCTCCCACCCTGGTGCCCAGGCAGCTGTCCCCATGCCTCTCCCCTTCCTGCCTCCCCCAGATGCTCCGCCCACCGCACAGGGCTCCTCCCACCTGCCATGGCCTCTGGCCACCAGGCTGGCAGCCTGGGCAGTGTGCCTCCCGTGGGCTGTCCCTGGGGGTCCGCCCTCCGCACCCCCGTCTGCCTTGTTGGGGGCAGAGGTGCCCGGCGTGACTCCTGGATTCCTACCAGACAGAGTCAGCTGCGCCTGGACCTCTGTGACATGGGGCGAGATGGGCGGCCTTGCACACTCGCGGGGACTCAGCCACCGACTCTGCTGAGTCCAGACACCGGGCCCTGGCCTCAGCAAGCCGAGATTCCACTTAAGAGAGAAATAAGAATTACCAAAGCTGAGGGCACCTGGGTGGCTCAGTGAGTTGGGCGGCTGACTCTGGATTTCGCCTCGGGGCCTGATCTCAGGGTCGTAGAATCAAGAGCCCCATGGGGGTGAGCTCAGAGCTGAGTCTGCTTCTACCTTTCCACACCCCCCCCCACCTTTCCCCTCTCACATGCATGCGCTCTCTCTCTCAGAAAAATAAAATCTTAAAAAAAATTAATTACCAAACCTGGCAAAAAAAGAAAAAAAGAAAAGAATTACGGAAGATGTTAAAGGTCTGTCAAGAAGAGAACAAAGGAGGGATCCCTGGGGGGCTCAGTGGTTGAGTGGTTGCGGGGTCATTTACATTTTCAGCTCATGCACATGGGTGTGGGTGCTGGGGGAGCATGGACACCGAGCAAACAGCAGGTGCAAAGGCAAGCCCTGGGTAGAATGTGGCGGAGGGGACCAGGATGGGCGTTCAGGGGCCACCTGAGGAGACGGTGAAGGTGGAAGACCCCTGGATGAGGACAGAGGCCCAGCTCTCCAGTCCCTACCTCTGCACAAGGCCAAGCACAGTCGCCAGGGACAGTGCGGGGGGCGGGGGGCAGTGGTGGTGGCGCTCTGGCCAATCCCCGCTCAGTGGAAAGGTAAGAGGGCCTGGCAAGGGTCTTGTTGGGGACCTCCCGGTCTCAGGCAGCCACCCCCATTCACTCAGCAAACGGTTTACAGATAAGGCCTAGCCCTACTCGTTCACCCAGCACCCGCTCTGCCCCCGCGCCAGCCCTGCGGTGAGATGTCTGCCGTCTCACCAGTTGCCCCTGGGGCAGGAATGGGGTGGCCCGCCTGGGTGCCAGGCAGGCTGAGGATGCAGGGTCCTCCACCCCAGGGTTGCAACAGAACACAGACCGTGGGAACCTGCAGAGGGCAGAGGGCCTGGGTCCCTCCACAAACATGTTTCAAGAAAACAGCTGGGGAGAAGAACCTTCTGGTTTAAAGAGATTTATCCAGGGGTTGATCACACACAGCCCTCCTGAGGGCTGTCCCCCCCATGCCTTGATCCCTTACTAGGATGGGATTCAAACAGCCACGGGCAGTAAAAGTACTTCTGGGACAATTAGGGGATGGGCCCTGAAGGGGTTCGGGGCAATCCGCCTAACGCTAAGGATAATGAGCCATTCACTCTTTCAAACTGTGACACTATGGTGGTTTTAGCAGATTCACAAAGGGGTGCGACCGTCACCTGTATCCAGCTCCAGAACATTCTCATGACCCCAAAAAGGAATGATTATATAAATATCAGTCACCGCTCATCCCCCACCCCAGACCCTGGGGACCACTCGTCTGCTTTCAGCCTCCATGGATTTGCCTGTTCTGGACATCCCGTAGAAGTGGAATCTTCCACCATGTGGTCTTCTGCTCTGGCTGCCTTCTCTGAGCCTCGTGTTTGCGAGGTTCCTCCGTCTCGTAGCAGGTGTCAGGGCTTCGTTCCTCTGTATGGCCGTACACCTGCTTGGAGGGAGCTAGGGCCCTTGGTTTAGCCCTTCGTCAGCTGGTGGACGTGAGTGGGAATAATGCCACTCTGACACTCCTGTTCCCCTTTGGGCGAACACGGGTTCAGTTCTCTCCAGCACATGCCTAGAAGTGGAGTTGCTCGCAGCTTTGTTTTCCAAAAAGAGTCCCTTGACCTGAAAAGATAAGATGTTGGGGCTCGCTTCAAGATTGCCATGGGGGTTTGCGGTGGGGTGCCTGGGTGGCTCTGTCGGTTGAGTATCCAATTCTTGATTTTGGCTGAGGTCATAGTCTCAGGGTCATGGGATCAGGCCCCGAGTAGGGCTCCAGGCTTAGCACAGAGTCTGCTTGAGATTCTCTCCCTCTCCCTCTGCCCCTCCCCTCATTTGTGCTCAATAAACAAACAAATAAATAAAATCTTTAAAAAATCATACAGAAGGGGGGAAGTAGGGTGCGTATCAATGCCCAAAGAGAGGCTGTATGAGTTGAGAATTTTGGATCAGAACAAGTTGGGGTTTATTTTTTTTGTTTGTTTAACTTTTTACTTATTTATTTATTCATTCATTCATTCATGAGAGGCACAGAGAGAGAGGCGGAGACAAAGGCAGAGGAGAAGCAGCCTGATGTGGGACTCGATCCTGGGACTCCTGGACCAGGCCCTAAGCTGAAGGCAGACACTCAACCCCTGAGCCACCCAGGTGCCCCCAGGTTGGGGCTTATTATGCTGTTTACTTTATAGCTGTTTAAATTCATGCATAAAATTGTTTTTGGATGTTGAGGCTCGGTTTACAGCAACCTTTTGTTCTTATTTCAATTTCCCCCCTACTTACCCCGAGCAATAGAAATGTCATGTAAGGGGTGCCTGGGTGGCTCAGTCAGTTAAGTGTCTCACTCGTGATTTCAGCTCAGGTCTTAATCTCAGGGTTGTGAGTTCAAGCCCCATGCTGTGCTCCACCATGGGCATGGAACCTTGTTTTCTTTTGTTGTTGTTGTTTTGTGTGTGTGTGTTTTTTTTTTAAAAGAAATGGAGATGCATGGATGGTTCAGTGGTTGAGTGTCTACCGTCAGGGCGTGATCCGATCCCGGGGTCCTGGGATCGAGTCCCACATCCGGCTCCCTGCATGGAGCCTGCTTCTCCCTCTGCCTGTGTGTCTGCCTGTCTCTCTCTCTGTCTTTCATGAATAAATAAAGTCTTTAAAAAATTCAAAAATTAAAAAATAAATGTCATGTGAACAACACATGTCATTTTAAACCCAGTAGCTGCATCCAAAAAAGTAAAAACAGAGGAAATTGATTTTAATTGTGCTTTTCTTGAACCCATTGTATCCCAAACGATCATCTTAACATGTAAGCAATTAAGAAATTACGAAAAAGATAGTTTACATCCCGATTTCCTGGAGGACTTTCAAGCCGGGTGTGCAGGTCACACGAATAAATCCTCTCCACTTGGCCTCACCCTTCTGAGGGGCTTGGTGATGATCCGTGGCCCCCACATTGGACAAAGCAGCTTTGTTTGGGGGCATTTGGAGCACTTAACCCCAAAGCTCTTGTGACTTCTTTTTTAATCGGTTGTTTTTGTCTATCTACAGCTAGAAGGTTGGTCCAGGGGGGCAGGCACCCTATGTGTCCCCTGAGGGCTGTCCCCCGACGCCTGGACCAGTGCATCACTGGGAGTAGGAGAGTGAGCGAGTGAGGGCGGGAAGGACCCCGCGAGTGTGCAAGGCCGCCCATCTCGCCCCATGTCACAGAGGTCCAGGCGCAGCTGACTCTGTCTGGTAGGAATCCAGGAGTCACGCCGGGCACCTCTGCCCCCAACAAGGCAGACGGGGGTGCGGAGGGTGGACCCCCAGGGACAGCCCACGGGAGGCACACTGCCCAGGCTGCCAGTCTGGAGGCCAGAGGCCAAGGCAGGTGGGAGGAGCCCTGTGCGGTGGGCGGAGCATCTGGGGGAGGCAGGAAGGGGAGAGGCATGGGGACAGCTGCCTGGGCACCAGGGTGGGAGCCCTGGGGCCTCCTGAGCCTGGGTGCACCCTGGCCTGGAGGCACAGGGCTGCCAGAAGAAATACAGGACCCCAGGTAAATGTGAATTTGAGGTAAATGACTGAGCCTTTCTCAAGCATAGGTATATCCCAAATGTTGCCTGGGATATACTTACCCTAAGAACTGATTTGCTGTTTCCCTCCAGGTCCATGTCAGCGGGCTCCCTTCTATTGGCTCATTTTGTGAGACCCTGAGCCCTGCCTGAGGAGGAATGGCAGGGCCACTGGCAGGTGCCAGGCGGGCAGGTCTTAGGGCCGGTGGGGAGTGCGGCCCATGGGAGTAATGGATTGATCCATGTCGAGTGCCCTGCGTGGAGATCTGGGCACTGACTGTCCTTGCCTCCTCCGCACACTCTCTCCTTGCTGACGCCTCCTTCTCTGAAGCCCCATGAAGCTTCCATCCATGCCAGAAGCTTGCTTCCTACTCTGGTCTGCCCTTGTCTGGAAGGGGAGGCCTTTATTTCAGACAGCCTGGCACCCCCTCCCCTCCTTGCCCCAAGAGGGGATGTTCCAGACTGTGAGGCGAGAGGGACAGTCAAGCTCTGATGTGACTGACTGGCCGCCCGAGGCACCTGCCATCTGGCCACTCCGTGGAGGAGTCAGCACTCAGGCTGTCGCTCCGGGGCTAGGACCAAGGACAGGGATGGGAGGTCCACAGCCAGGCTTGGCCTTGTGGTCCAGAAGCTGGAAAGTGGGCAGCGGCTCTCATCCATCTCATGCTCTGGCCTCCTCTTGGAGCAGCGGGAGCTTGACGAGTCCCTCCTTCGGGTCCAGTGCTGGGAACATCATAACACTGGGTCTCTCCCCCAGCAGCTGGAGGTCCAGTTGGGTTGCCCTCCACTAGAGAAGACAGTTTCCACCACCATGCCCCCACTGGACCCTGTTGGGAGGGGACCTGCAGACCTTTTCCCGCCTCACCTGTCACTCATCATGTTCTGATAACCCTGGCCAGACTCTAGGATTTCCAGAAACTCTCAATCCTCTTCCTACCTCAGGACCTTCGTACCTGCCGTTTTCCCTGCCAGGATTTTTCAGGATTGAAAATATGTGGTCTGTCTCCAAGAGGCCTTCCCTAACTCATGGCTCATGTCTCACCTAATCGCTCAGCCCGTCTAGGGCCTGGGGCCTAGACATGTCTCATCCTCTTTCTATCACTTTCCATGACTCTAAACTGTTTTATTAGCTAAACAATCTTTCTCCTCCCCATCCCCTACTGGTATTCTTTCTATAAAAGCAGGTGCCCCTTCTGTCCACCTCACCAGGGGGACACTGTGGATATGAGAAGTTTCCGATACAACAGAAGTGAGTGAAGAGTGTGCAACTCTGGGAATTTTGCGAGCCTGCAAATCTCCGCCCACTGTATGGATGAGGATTTTGAAATGAAGGTGAACGGTGGCCTGGATTCCCACCTGGAGGGGTGGGTCTGGATCTAGGACACACACACACACACACACACACACACACAGAGAGAGCATAGACACAGACTGGGTTGGTGCAGGCTGTGTGAACCAAGTGGCCCAGGCCCCAGTTGTTGGGAAGCACTGGCCCCACTGGCCCAGACATGGCCTGGCCCTGGAGGGGAGGAGCCCAGATGCCTCCTGACTGTGGGCCCTGGCCCGTCTGTGAGCCAGCAGGCAGGGAGCCCTACTTACGGGAAATGCTCTGTTGAGGAGAAAGGGTGGCGTCTTGTTTGGCCCAGCACACTGGCCCCAGTCCAACCCGGTCAGGAAGCCTGCGTGGTGAGGTCAGCCCACACTTGGTTCCTCCCGGGAGTGGCAGCTGCTGGTGGGGAGAGAGGGAGTGGGCTCCCTAAGAAAAGGCCCAGGGGCAGCCATCCGTCTTCTCCCTCCCCTTTACCAAAAGAAGAAGAAGAAGAAGAAGAAGAAGAAGAAGAAGAAGAAGAAGAAGAAGAAGAAGAAGAAGAAGACAAAGAAGAGGCAAAAGCACTTTGGAAAGTATTTTAATGCCTCCTGAGAGGCAGCCGAGTGTGTTGGCTAAGCGCACAGACTTGGTGGTGGCAGTCAGCTCGCTGAGAGTGACGCCCAGTGTCGGTGCTCATCTGCTGGGGGGATCCTCAGCCTGTCACTTAGCCTCTCGGCCTCGCTTCTCCTCCGTATGAATGAAATGGGGCACCCACTTCTGGGTGCTGGTGGGGTGGAGTCTGAGACTTAATATTTGGCCACGTGGTCACCAGCACACAGTGTTTGCTGATCGTGTCCCTCCCCCGGTGACCTGTCCAGGAGGTAAGCAGGTACGTGAGGTGGTACTCATTTTACGCATATGGAGCCTGAGGCTCATCCAGGGCTTCTGAGGCAGGTGCGCACAGGACACCGGCGGCAGGACCTCAGGGGGCCCGCGTCCCGCTCGCAGCTCTGGCCACACGAGGCTGGGGTGCGCAGTCCCCGCCAAGCGCTCGGCCTGGGGTTGCCACGCAGAGGTCGCATCGGATCTCCAGACTGTTTAAGTTGGATCTGGGTGGATTAGAAGGACAGACAAAACTGAAGTCGATTGCCAATATCTAAAAAATCGGGGATGTCACAACTTGTTTCTCTTGAAATCCATGTGTCTGGGTTTGTTTGGTAAGATTTATTTGTTTGCAAGTCACCTCCAGCCCCAACCCGGGACTCAAACCCGCAACCCCAAGATCAAGAGCTGCACCCTCTGCAGACTGCGCCGGCCGCCCGCCGCTCTGGTTTCTCTTGAGAAACTGGAAGCTCAGGCAACACGGAGCCTGTGTCCCCCATGGCAGGAGCTGAGCAGGGACCGTCCCCCTGGAGATGGGGTTCACTCCACTCAGCCACACATTTGCTCATTTATGTTCTCTGCCCCTGGTAAGTTCATCGTTGCTCCTTAAAAACCCTCTGTTTGGGGGTTCCCCGGGCGGCTCAGTGGGTGAGCATTTACCCTCCGCTCAGGGTGTGATCCCTGGGTCCTGGGATCAAGTCCCGCATCGGGCTCCCTGCAGGGAGCCTGCTTCTCCCTCCGCCTGTGTCTCTCCCTCTCTCTGTGCATCTCTCATGAATAAATAAATAAAATCTTTAAAAAAAAACCCAAAAACCCAAAACCAAAACCAAAACCCCTCTGTTGTAGGTGCCACTGCCCCGGAGCAGACCTAACCCCGGGACAAGGACCCATGAGAAGGTGAGATTTCAGGCAGTGTCCCCAAGGAGGGAGGCTGTGTAGGCCTGTGTCGTTGGGCAAGATCCCACGGGAAGCCTATAAGCTTCCTGGGGCTGCCCTAATAAAATACCATAACTCCAGTAGTTTAGACAACAGAATTTGGTTTTGTTTTTTTTTTTTTTTTTTTTTTTGCCTTCACAGTTCCGGAGGCCCGAAGGCCAAGATCAAAGTGTTGGCAGGGCTGTCCCCACTCCAAAGGGCCGAGAATCTGCTTCGAGCCCCTCTCGCAGCCTCTGATAGATGTTTGGCAAAGTGGCTCCAACCTTCACACCGCATTGTGCAAGTGCAGGTCTGTATCCACACGTCCCCGTTTTATAAGGACACCGGTCGTTGTGGACCGAAGGCCCGCCCTATTCCAGTATGACCTCATTGTGACTAATTACACTGGCTGCGACCTTGACCTTACATCCAAGTAAAATCACATTCAACGTGAATGTGGGGAGCGGGGGACACAATTCAGCCCATAACAGGTGAACTGCGGCTCAGAAAGTCTGCTCTGGTGAGGGAGCAGGAGGATTTCGAAGCCCCTACCCATCAGCCACCGCCTGCGGGCTGCCCTGAACAGGTGCTTCTGGCTCTGGGCACACTCGGGCCACGGGGGTTCCGGTGGAGTGGGGCGGTTGTCCTCCAGCAGAGGCACAGGGGATACTGCTGAGAGTGAAAGCTCACGGGGCGGGGGGTGGGGGGTGCCGACAGGCATGAAGGTGGGAAAGGCATCCGAGGGATGTCCATCCAGCTGCCCCCCCACCCCAACCCCGCCCCGTCTGTGGAATGTCCTGAAGGCAAACCTTTGCCCCACATCAGCCACCCACGGACAACCACCCTCGGAATGACCGTAAGTGACTCACTGGCTGCTGAGTGCCTTCCTTTCTCCCCGCACAAGCCACAGAGGAGGATTGTACCCACCCACCCACCCCATCCATGTGCACCCCGACATGGCTGTCACGCAAGGACCGTGGGCAGGTGGGGTGTGCAGAGCCCTCGTCCCCACCAGCCTCACGGACAGAGGAGCCCTGGGAGAAACAGGTTCTGGAGTCCCCAGGCTCTCCTTGTGGGTTCCCGGGCTATCCAAACCCAGCCGGTGAAAATAAGGATCTGTATGCAGCAGGGGCATCAGAAATGAGGATACGTGGGAGGAACTGAGGTTCTAGTGCCATGAGTCTGACTCAGCACCAGACCCGGGGTCGGGGAGGAGCAGTGGCTCGAGGCGCCACACACAGTGGTGCCAAGAACCATCCCCACCCCGGGGCCACCTTGGCATGTAAGTGCCGCGTGCTACGTGTGGCCTTGCTGTGGGCGCCTGCTAGGAGCTCGAATCAGAGTGGGAGGGAGCAATCTTCGGGGCGCCCACTGGCAGGTGGGGGCTGGGCATATTGAGATCCGGGGCTTTCACGGAACCATGGCCACCCTTGGATTCCATCTGGAGAAACCAAGCTCCTGCAGGCTCAGGGGTCAGTTCGACTTTCCTCACTGCCCGACGCGAGTGGCAAGTTACTGCCATGAGGCCGGGTGCAGAGAACAATCGGCCGTAGCTCCTGCCTCCCAGAGCCCTGAACGGGATGGCCGGCCACCCCCAGGGCTGGGCACCTTGAAGGCCCAGTCTTCACCTCTCCGACTCCCTGCAGCTCCGCGCCTCCAGGACATGGCACCCTTGATTCATAATTTTAGCTCAATTCACTTTTGGGAAAACTCAGCCACTGGCGGAGACCTTGAGAAAGGCCTGCCCCGACCTTGATCGGCCCAGGCCTGGCCACTTCTGCCCAAGGGACCAGGCTCCCCCTAACCCCCCCAATGGCCCCCAGCACAGTGGGGAGGCCCTCACCCAGCTGCGCCCAGGGGACTTCTCATGGGATCTCCAGAGCCACCCAACGCCCTTCTGAAGGGCCTCAGCTGGGGAGGGAGGGAGGCCCAGACCAGCAGGGTGAGGCAGGCCACCCTCCTCGGCTCAGTTTCTCACGCCACAGCTGCTCCCTGCAATCCAGCTCCCGGTCTGGGTCAGGCTGTTGTCAAACAGTAACCAGATCCCGATGGACTCCTGCTTCGCACGCTCCAAAGGTTTGCCCTTGTCTGCACCAGCGAATCCCAGCTCTTGACTCTGCAGGACGGGCCCTGGAAACTCCCTCATGGGGCTTGGGGTGTCCTCCCCCCTGGACTGCGGCCACCCCGCACCCCTGCTCTTCTGGGCCAGCGCCTCCGCCTCCGGAAGCTTGCCCTTGCTGTCCCCTTTGCCTGGCGTGCCCTCCGCGTGCTCTGGCACACTTGTCACACGGCCCTCATATCCTTCAGGCTGCGGCTCAGGTGTCACCTCTGCGGCAGCCACAGTGGGGGCCCCACCGGGACCTCTCAGCCTTCATGTTTCCCAGGCCTGCAAGCACCTTCCATTCTCTGCCTGGGGGGCTCCCTCTGTCCTTAGAAGCTGCTAGGCCCAGTGGGGGAGTGGGAGGGTCCCCACCAATGACTTTCAGGAGCTGGCATCTCAGTCCCCCACGCCCTCACTCCCCAGGTGGGCGGGTATCTCTGTGGTCTCTGAGGGCCCCCCCCCACAGGACCGAGGCCCAGCTTGCCCACAGGGTGACCTGCACAAGAGTACACCTCAAACTGGCCCATTCTGTCACCCCCCCTTCCCAGCCCCCAGCAAGCACTTCCCATGATCCCCCCGACATCCTCGCCCTGGACTTGGCTTCCGGATGATTCACACCAGAACACGTCCCTGGAGGCCTTCCCTCCCTCCCCCCCACCCCATCACCCTGTACCTGTAGGCGATTGAACTGTCGCCCCAGAAAACATGTGTCCACATCCTAACCCCTAGGACCTGAGAATGTGACCTGATTTGGAAAAAGGGGGTTTTGTGGATGAAATTAACCATCTAAAGATGAGAGCATCCTGGATTACACAGGTGGGCCCTATATCCAGCGACTGGTGTCCTCATAGGAAGAGAGGAGCAGAGAGAGGGAAGAATAGGTGGAGACACGGAGAGACACGGGAGGGAAGGCCACGTGGAGACGGAGCGGGAGGGGGCCACGGATCCACGGCAGCCCCGGAAACGGGGAGAGCAGCCCCTCCAGAGCCACCATGGGGAACCCGCCCTGCCGCCTGACACCTTAACTTCAGACTCCAGCCTCTAAGCCAGAAGAGAATAAATTCTCATTATTTTAAGTCCCTCCTCCCTCCAGTTTGTGACAATTTGTCATGTCCGCCAGAGGAAGCAAACACAGCATCTGAACAGGTGCGCCCCACGTATCCTGACTCCCTGGACATGTCGCTCAGTTGAGCATCTTCATCTGCAAGGATCCAGGTGACTTCCTTGCTTCGGGCCCGGTCCTCCGCTGGAAGGAAGGTAGGTCCTGGCTGCCCCTGTCCCCACCTCCTATCCGCAGCCCCAGGATGGCACCTGATTCACGACAGGTGAATGAATGAATGAATGAATGACCCACAAGCCCCCTGGCCAGGGGTCCTTCTCCACACCTCCTCACCTCCTACCTGATCAAGAAGAAAAAAAAAAAATAACAAAAATCTATCCCCCACTGAACTCGGCCCAGACCCCAGAGCCCTCAACCCTGGCTGTGCATCAGAATCTTCTAGAGAACCCCCCGCCCCGCCCCCAGCCCTGTGCTCCGCCCCCGCCCACCGCAGACTCTGATCCAACAGGCCGGAGGCGGGACTCAGGCTGCAGCATTTTTTGGAAGTTCCTCCAGACGATGCTGATGCGGGTGCCCAGGGTTGAGAAGCTCTGATTTGGGGGCGAGGGCGAGAGGCCAAGATGGGGTCAGCGTTGCCAAGTGACCAACGGTCCCAGTTTGCCCAGACTGAGGGGTCTGCCCAGGATGTGAGACTTGCAGGTGCTAAACCCAAGGCCGCCCCAGGGAGGCAGGAGGAGTCGGGAGCACTTCCCCAAGCCCCCTGGTGGGGCACTCCGCACAGCCACCCCACTCCGCCTTGGCCACTCTTGAAGGACGGGATCCCCACCGTCTAGAGGAGAGGCCCTTGGGTGCCGGCTCCAGACATGGGTCATAAAGGAGTGGCAGGGCCACAGCTGGACAGCGTGGGGGTGGGGGTGGGGCCAGGGCCCAGGCGGCCGGGGCTGATGGAGGGTGGGCCCCCAGGCCGTCATGATTCTAACAGAAGGAGTTTCCCATGTGGCTTGTGGGTGCTGCACACTCATCGCGGGAGTCCTTCGGGGTCAGGTTGGGACTGTTTTCTCCTTGGCAGCCCCTACAGGGCCTGGCGAAGAGTCAGTGCTCAGCACACGGGGGTTGAGCGACCGCGGGTCTGTGACACTTCGATAACCGTGTCAGCTGGGAGTGCTCAGGCCTTTCTCCCCTCCTCTGCAGCGCTTGCTCTAGACGGACACCGGGGAGGTGCTTGGCACATGTGTGTTGACCGACCGAGGGAAAATATCGATGGCTCCTTCCTCCCCCGAGGCTGCTCGGGTTTTGGGGTTGGGGGTGCTTCTCCTCATGCCACATAATCTGTGCGTTCACCCAGCCACGCAAATAAAATTATTCTCTGTTCTGTTAGCTGCGGCAAAAACTGCTAGCAAACCCCGCTATCTCCCTATGTTGGAAGAGAATTCGTAGCTGGCTCGCGGTAAGGATGAACGACTGCCCTTCTTGGCCTCCCCTGCCGCGAGGGTGGTCGTGTGACCAAGCCGGTAGAAGTCAATCCTGCCGCTTCCCGGTTACGCCTTTCCCTCTGATGGAATACAGTTGTAATGGCAGGAGCTGGGGCAGCCACTGGGGGTCGTGAGGTGGAAACCGTGAGCAAAGATGAGAAAGCCAGACCAGAGAGGGAGCTTCTGTGGTTCCTGTCCCCCGGAGCCACATCACGTATTCTGAATGGCTGGTATATCTACGGTTACACGAGAGAGGAATACACGTCTACCCGGCTGTTACGGCAGCCGTAGCTCTTGTCTTCTCCCACACACCGCGTCATGCCTAAACGGCTAGGTGGACATTCATGCACTGTGGGGGTTATGTTTAGGATGGTTTGACTTAAGACACCCTGGGACCCGAGGTAAAGATGACAGGCACTCATGCAGGTGCCGGAGGAGCAGTCACGGGGCGTGACCAGAGACTCTGGGGACTGCCAGGTGGGGAGCTGGACCTTCAGTATTAAGGTGCAAACCACACAAAAACAGTGGTTATTATATGAGTCCTGGTCTAGGAGCCACGGGGGCAGACTCTCCAAAACATGCGGGCTACCGTATGGCTGTGCCACTTCCCCCGTGGCCCAGGGAGGTTAAGCCAGTTGGCCAAGTTTCCACAGGCCAGAGTGGGCTGGAGTCCAGGTGTGTGTGACCTGAAGCCTGAACCTCAAAGTCCAGCTTCTCAGGAGTGGGAAGCCCACAGGCCTCTCCAGATCCTAGCTCTTGCCCTAATTGCACCCCTGGTGTCCCCTGGGGGAGCTCCAGTCTTATGGGGACGGGGGCAGGAAAGGTCTAGAGCAGTGCTGGAGTCTGGAAGCTGGGCTCTCCTGCCTGGGAAGGTAGCCGGGGCCCTCAGCGGCCAAGGGGAAAGTGACGCTGCACCAGTGTGAGGTCAGCACCAGCCTTTGCTGGGTGCACTCAGGGCTTGGCACGTTCCCCCTAGCTTCCCCCTAGCCTGGGTTTCTCAACCACAACTCTATGGACGCATTGGGCTGGATAGCTTTGTCCTGGGACTCTGTGCCCTGTAGGATGTTTACCAGCACGCCTGACCCCCACCCACTAGGGGCCAGAAGTTGGGACAACCCACAGTGTCTGCAGACATTCCCCGGTGCCACAACACGGGCTCCACGGCTCCTCGGGGTCTCAGAGGCAAGGCGGAGGGGGCCGCCCTCCCTCACATACTCCTTGGTGTCCCCTGTGCCCCACTGCAGGCTCCCGGGGCCCCTTGACCACACGCTCTCGGCTTTGCAGAGGCCCTGACCCTCGGTTGCTCATTGCCTGTTGGGCATCCTTTCCTTTCTGGGATCCTTCCTAAATAGAAACCATTTCCCCCCACATCCTTGTCTCAGGATCCCTTTCTAGCACCTTTTGAGGAACCAGATTGTTCTCCAAAGCCTTACCAAATTTAAAAAAAAAATTGTTTATGGAAGCATAACAGAGCATACACCCAAGAAAGTGCAAAACCCAAAGTGTCAACTAAATGCATTTTTCCCAAACTGAGCATTCCCACGTAACCAGCACCCGGATCAGGACATAGAATGTGTCCAGCCCTCCTGGCCCTCCCTTGGGGGAGCCACCGTCCCGCCTTCAGATAGCCCAGTTCCCTTTTCCCCTCTGGATTTAAAATATTCTCCATCCTGGTGAGGGGTTGGGGCCCGCTGCCCGTGACTCCATGCCCCCTTCCAGCATAAGGACCGTCTGCCCGCCCCCGAGGCTTAGGGGAAACCTTCCCAGGTTCGAGCAATGTGTTCCTCATAGTGGGAATAGCCAGGCAAGCTCCCAGAAAGGACAGACCTCCTTCCCTCCCAGGGATTCCTCCTGTTTCTGGGGCTCAGAAGGAGGAGGCAGGGAGGCCGAGGAGGCTGGGCAGCCTCAGGCTGGGGAGCTGCCAGAAGGGAAACCACACTCCCAGGTCGAGAATGAAGTAGGCCCATGAGGCCTCTATTAGCACCCACTGGAGGTTTTAAGGGATTTCCTGGGGTTGCAGAGCCAGGAGATACCTTCTAATGTTCTGGGCCTCAGCCTGGCCTCCAGCATCTGTACTGGGCCCTAAACTGAAAGCTGGGGCTTTATCTGGGCTGCTGCTTCCCTGCCTGGGATCTGGGCATGGGCCGGACGCAAAACTTCAAGGCCAAGGCTGCAGTGTATGGCCCAAGAGGTGCATGTGTTGGACCTCAGAGGTCACCTGGACAGCTGGATGTCTCAGTGTGGCCAAGACAGGGCTGAGTGGGAATGGGGTCCTGGGTGGGGAGCATGTTCTCCAGAAGTGGGGCCCTTTCAGGGTGCCAAGGTAAAACAGTGGCATGACCGGGGCACCCGGGTGGCTCAATGGTGGAGCGTCTGCCTTCAGCTCAGAGCTTGATCCCGGGATCCCAGAATCGAGTTCCGCGTCGGGCTCCCTGCATGCAGCCTGCTTCTCCCCCTGCCTGTGTCTCTGCCTCTCTCTTTGTGTCTCTCATGAATAAATAAATACAATCTTTAAAAAAAAGAAAAAAAGAACCCAATGGCACGACCATTGTCGGGCTGCAATGAGCATGCCCTTGCGCTGCCCTTCAGATGCCTCTGTGCCTGCTGCCCTGCTCTCCGCACAGGCTGTCGACCCACCAGAACCACAGGCAGGTCCTGAGCACCCACCCCCACACCCCCAACCTGCTTCATGGCCAATGGGGGGCCCAGGAGAGCAAGCAGAGGAGACTGGGCTTGAGGTGCTTGCTCCTCTGGTTCCTTCCATCAGCGACTTAATAAAGTGGTGAGGACAGGTTTATTCAGATCTGCTACTGCCATCAGAAAAAACATCCCCACCCCACCCCACCCCACCCCGCCCCCCTGCTCCTGCCGCACAAACTAGATTGGACTTGCCCGAAATGAAAGGCTTTTGCTGGGGGGGGGAGGGGTAGGAAGGGGGCTTGTCCCTGTGACTGGGCCTCCTGCGGTTTCACACTTGGCTGGAGGAGAAGCCAAGTTCTGCACCTTTATATCAGGAGGCAGGGCTGCAGGTTGATGCCAGGTGACCAAGGAGTTTGGACCTTCATCTCTCTCTGAATGTCTGCATTTCAAAGAGATGACTCTCTCTCTCTCTCTCTCTCTCTCTCTCTCTCTTTCTCTCCTAGAAGAAAGAGTTTGGCTGGTAGATTTACATCTCAAAGGGGAGAGAAAGGAATTTAGAAAAAGCTCTCCAGCATTCAAGGAGATCCCAGTGACACCCCCACCCCCGAAACACACCCAGCCCCAGCTCCTAGGGACCATCTCCAATGGGCTCATCTGCAGCCCCTGGGAGTCTGCTGGAAACTCAAAAATCTCATCCCATTCCAGACCCAGTGAATTCATATCCGCATTTTTCACGAGGTCCCTATGTGCTGGATGTGTGAATAAACACTTCTCTCAACTCTCTCCATCAGTGAGACACCTGGGTCCCACCCGTGAAAGCTTGATGTGGACTGGGCATCAGATGGTCTAAAGACTCTAGTAGGCGATTCTCATAATGCAGCAGAGGTGAGAAGCATGGGTCTAGGTTGCTGTCCCTCCCGTCGTGACACTACTGACATGCAGGCCTACTAATGCTTTGTCGTGGGGCTGTCCTGTGTGCTGTAGGATCCTTAGCAGCATCCCTGGCCTCTACCTGAGAGACACCAGTAGTACCATTTACCCAGTTGTATGAACCAAAGAGGATTCCAGACATGACCAGGGTTCCCTTGGCTGCAAAGCCATCCCCGATTGAAAGCCACTCTTCTAAATCCCCTGCTAACTCCCTCCCAACACACAACTCAGTGGCTTCCCTGCTTCTTTGTTCTCTCCCTTCTCTGGAGCTTCTTAGCTTCAATCTCTCTGGAATTTACTATCCTCTGACTGGCCCAGTTCTTGGATCCTCTGCAGCGGTGGTACTGAGACCAGCAGCATCAGCAGATTCTCAGGCCCCATCCAGATCCAGAAAGTCTGGGTTTGAAGACCAACATTCCGGCTTTCACAGACCCCTAGGGAATTTGGGGGCATGCTAAAGTCCAACAACCCTGCAAGAGAGATAGTCTTTTCTCCATTCCCATTGGTGGCGGCGGGGAGGGTCGTGTGGGAACAAAGATATCCTTGAGTTGTTCAAGGACACATGAATTTGCATCTAGCTCTGTCTTTGGCTTCCAGGGCTGGGTGGATCCTAACAGCAGAAATGGATTCCCTCCCAGTTCTAGAGGCCAGGATTCCAAAAGCAAGGTGTCAGGGGGGCCATGCTCCCTCGGAAGGTCCTGGGGGAGAATCTTTCCCTGCCTCCTCCAGTGTCTGGTGCTTACAGGCAATCCTGGGTGTTCTTGGCTTAGGGCAGCATCACTCCTGTACCTTCATCTTTTATGTGG